GACCGGGCAAACATGACACACGTGAGCGTACTCACGCTCAGGTAAGTCAGGTAACCTCAGGTAAGTCAGGTAACGGCAGGTAAGTCATGTAACGGCAGATAAGTCATGTAACGGCAGGTAAGTCAGGTAACGGCAGGTAAGTCAGGTAACGGCAGGTAAGTCAGGTAACGGCAGGTAAGTCAGGTAACGGCAGGTAAGTCAGGTAACGGCAGGTAAGTCAGGTAACGGCAGGTAAGTCAGGTAACGGCAGGTAAATCAGGTAATGGCAGGTAAGTCAGGTAACGGCAGGTAAGTCAGGTAACGGCAGGTAAGTCAGGTAACGGCAGGTAAGTCAGGTAACGGCAGGTAAGTAAGGTAACGGCAGGTAAGTCATGTAACGGCAGGTAAGTCAGGTAACGGCAGGTAAGTCAGGTAACGGCAGGTAAGTAAGGTAACGGCAGGTAAGTCAGGTAACGGCAGGTAAGTCAGGTAATGGCAGGTAAGTCAGGTAACGGCAGGTAAGTCAGGTAATGGCAGGTAAGTCAGGTAACGTAGGTAAGTCAGGTAATGGCAGGTAAGTCAGGTTAATGGCAGGTAAGTCAGGTAACGGCAGGTAAGTCAGGTAACCTCAGGTAAGTAGCCGTCTAGACGGCCGATTCCATCCTTGTTTATTTTGATAATTAATTGCAAGTTTTAATGAGCCCTATTAATGAACAGGCAGAATTATCTTTTGGCCCGTCACACTATATTCTATCATTTTCTTGTCTTTAATTAAAATAATAATCCTATTTTAGTTTGGCGTTATTAATAATGTCTGTTTACAGTAAGTGTGTGTGTGTGTGTGCGTGTGTGTGTGTGTGTGTGTGTGTGAGTGTGTTTGCGTGTGTGTACCTGTGGTTCTGGGATCCATCCAAATTCCTTTCGGACATCAGGACTGTGATTATCTTCTACACAAAAGTGTTCGTCTAAAATCTAGATCCTACTAGCCTTATGTATATGCAGTGAACAGATTGAAATATCTGTTGATCAATATGCTCTTAATATGTTTGATGAACAATCAAAAACTATTACTATTGCATCTAAAGAAAGAAAAGTCTGTTAATTTCAATATATTAAAAGACTAGTTATTTCAATGTTGTTTTTGTATACATGTTCTACGATTTAGTATGAATAACGTCAAACCCCGTGAGTAATCTTTAACCACCACCACTACATCTACCTCAGGTGCACGAACCTGAGAGGATTGCAGAACTGCCTCTACTCTTCAAAATCTCTAACAGGTGAACTAATCAGAGACAGTTCATTTAGGAATAAATAATTAATTAAAAATGAATGGGTTTTAATTACGTACTTAAACAACGCCATTAAAACTTTAAAAAATATAACTTGAACCTTGTACTTATTAAACATAATTATTGTTAGATTATCTTCATTTAAATGTCATGCTTGAAACCTTTGACTAGGTGTGGAAAAGGGGAGGGGGAGGAGTCGATTTCTCCCACGTATTGAACTAAACCGGTAGATAACTCAGCAGGTAGCTGTTTACGCTTGGATGATCTTTCCTCCCCTTCCACCCCTCCTTCCCCCGTCCCACTACCTACATGTGAAGACGGAAGATTGAACCACTCGAAGTTGAGATAAAACTTTGATAATTTATTATCTAACGAACGTTTTCTACTCCTGCAGAAGAGATCACCGCCACCCCCGCTGAGAACATCCTACGTTTTTTTTAAAACTTTTTTAACGTTGAATGTGTTTGAACAATTTTTCAAATTCTTTTTATCAAGCTTAAATACGCGACACTTGCTGTATGATCAAAATCAAAAGTGGAAAAATCTGGAAAAACTATTGCTCTCTACACGATGTGTTCTGATTTTTTAAGAAGCACTTTTGAACTGGCTTCTGGTAATTTGATAAGTTTTTGGTGTTTGTAATTTTCAAATTTTTATTAGGCAGCGATAAGATAGTCCGGGACTAAAAAAAATCCAGTAAAAAAAGGTTTGTAGGTGTATATATGTGAGGAGGGGGAGGAGAGGGTTGTAAAAATAGTCTTCACTTAGCGGTACTCTAGTAAGTTTAGATGTGCTTGTTTATGAACGCATGTATAAATAAAGGAATTAAAATGCTAAAATCATAGCAATGATATTATTTATTGGTTAAATTCAATTTCAACCCGCCCTCCTCCATTATTTTGGAACGAACAACCTCTTTGAGCATTAAGGCCCCTTCAGCTATATGGGCATCTGGGATTAATAGACTCAACTAAGCTCTGTAAGTTTAACTATGGGCCCCTTTAAGCCGTAGATTGATGTACATCCTCCATAAGTTCTATAACGTCTAAAGTTTTACAATCTCGTCCATGTTTTATTTTCTCAAGGAGCATCAGATTCCCAATTTAGGTTTTTGAGGAGCCGATAAAAACGTTTAATTTCCAAGATGAATATTTGTTTCAAACGGTTTAAGGGGTTTCCCCATCAACAACAAAAAAATTCCATTCTAAAGATGTTCCAACACACTCGAGCATATACACTGCTTGCTTGTGGGGACGTTATTTATAATTATCCTTCAAGGAAGATGGTAGGGGTGGGGGTGGGGGAGGGCCCGGCATGAAATAACCTGTGATTAAAGACAAGACGATGTTTTGGGCAGCTCTCGTGGACGGGTCCCTCTTTGATGTCGTCATCTTTACGTCCTGTTTGTGTTTGATCACAGGAAACTGGAGTTGTCGCCCTGTCTTTCATTTCGGCGTCGTATATTGCATGATTATAATTTCGATTATTTTAGGAAAATATTTTTAAGTTTTTGTGTTTGTTGTGATTTCAATAACTGTAATAAACTTGTATTTGGATGCATCGTGCAGAATATGATTAAGTATTGCATGATTTCAGTTTCGTTTATTTCAGGAAAATAAATTTTAAAACATTTTTTATGCTCTCAATAGCCGTAATAAAGACCCTGATTTGGAAATATCATGTAACATATGATTAAATACTGCATGATTAAAATTTTGTTTATTTCAGGAAATTTTTTTTTTTGTTTATTGAATTTCCATAGCTGTGCTAAACTGTGCTTTGCCACGATACCACCAAAAGAACTCTGTATAAAAGTTGTCTTTCCAGATGTGTTGTCTATTTGGATGGAGAGAGTAAAAACAAAAATAAGGAAGTATCAAAGCGGTAACATTAGATCGATTATAACCCCCCCCCACCCCACCAGCTCGTCCATACCATGACCCCCACCGTCCTGGTCTCTTCAGGGCTCTGGCAATTTTCTCTGACCCCCAGACCCACGAGGACGGGCTTGGCGTTTAGGAATAATCTTGCGGGAAGCGCAACACCCTATCGCTGTCGGGCTAACGACATCTTGGGGAGAGCCATCAGGGGAGGGAAACAAAAACAGATGGCGCTCTAAAGCTCTCGACTGGTCATTACACCCCCACCCCCTACCCCTACCCACACCTAAACCAGCTTCACTAACATCCGATGTATCCACCATCTCCCACCCTGTTCTTTCCTTTAACTTGAGTTCTTCGTACTTTATTAGTTTTTTCAAAGTCCAGTTTGTCTATTTTTAGTATAGTTCAACAATTATTTTCCTTCCTCTTGCAAAAGCCTATTGATGGTTTAATCACCACCATACTAGTGTTAACACAGTGTTAAAACACCACCACACTAGTGTTAACACACCCCACACTAGTGTTAACACACCAACACACTAGTATCAACACACCACCACACAAGTGTTAACACACCAACACACACCACCACACTAGTTTTATACACCACCCTTACAGTGTTAACACACCCCCACACTAGTGTCAACACACCACCAACTTTAACCCCGTACCTACCATTCCTCCAGTATAGATTTAACTCACTCTACCCCGTGTTAACACACCACCAACTTTAACCCCGTGCCTACCATTCCTCCAGTATATATTTAACTCACTCTACCCCGTGTTAACACACCACCCCACTAGTGTTAACACACCACCAACTTTAACCCCTTGCCTACCATGCTTCCAGTATAGATTTAACTCACTCTACCCCGTCATAAGCACGTGCATCGTGAGCTGGGTTTTCACACCAGTCAGGAAGATCTCTGCATGCCTAATCAATATATTCTCTCGGCCTCATGTTCCCTGTCTGGTTCCCCCACCCCCACGGGCTCCCCCACCTCTCCCACCCCGCCCCACAACAATGATTAATGGATCTGTGTCAACAAACATCTGTAAAGAATGCTAATATTGTTGTAAAGATTTTTCATTATTCACATAACTAAGGGAAAAAAATAGTTTTGATAAATATGACATGGCCCCATCGCAGCTGCTCATTGAAAACATAGTTTGGCTGGCCGCCACGGATAGAAATATTTGTGTCATGTTCGGGTTTTTTTTTTTAAATGAACCTGATTTAGAACATGGATTCTCACTGCACTTAGATTCATAGAATAATTTATGTGAGAGGTTTATTCAAGGATATAAACATCTTTTTACGGTTCAAGAATTTTGTAATAAAATCATAAAGCTATCTTAGAGTTTCCGGATTTCTTATAAACATCGACATGACGAATTGAATGCTACATTTTTGGTTGATATCTTTGTAACCATAATTCTTACACTAATCCGCACTTTAGTCCTGATCTTTTTTTGACAGCAGTCCTACAATCCTAGACTTGACCCTAACATCACGGTTCAATTGCTTCACTAGAGCGTGTCACCAGGTTCGGAAATTAAAGGTATACCCCCCCCCCCCCCCCAACATTGTAGCATTTTTGTTTTGTTGTAACCTCTCTCCTTTACTATTACATGAATTTTAACTGGATAAAACATTTTTTTGACAGTACTTTAAAAAAAGTTTGAATTTGATGTCAATCCCTACATGATGTCACTCGGACCACCCCCCCCCCCCCTCACCCGCCTTGTGACGCCACTATAAAACACCTCGATACCACACTTTCAACTACTGTCCATCTCTGCTTGTATGAAGAGAACCAAACTCGCTAATAAAAGAAACTTCGTG